TTTAACAGATCATAAACACTTTGCGGATTAGAAAGGCATCATTGGGAAAGAAAGAAAGAAAGAAAGAGAAGAGAAAGAAAGAAAGAAGAAGAAAGAAGGAAAGAAGGAAAGAAGGAAGAAGGAAAGAAGAAAGAAGGAAAGAAGAAAGAAGGAAAAGAGAGGAAAGAAGAAAGAAGGAAAGAAAGAAAGAAAGAAAGAAAGAAAGAAAGAAAGAAAGAAAAGAAAGAGAAAGAAAGAAATAGCGTAACCACTGGTATGTTAGGTGTTTCCACCAACCCTGGCTGGGCAGTGGGCCTGCTTGGGTGGCAGAACTTTGTAAGTGCTCAGGGTTCATGGCTGAGAATGGGCTTCTCTCATACTTGGAAGGAACAGGATGTCAGTGTAGATGACCCTAAATTGTAATGGTTGATTTGGTCCCGCCTTAGGACCAAAGCCACAGAGATGAATGTCCCAGCTTAATGCAGCTCTCTGCCCATTTCTCTTTCTGCTGCCTGTCTTGGTGGACCTGCTGACTCTTGCACGGGTTGACCAGCTGTCACCCCCCTAATCCCATGGTCTGCCCCTTCTATCCTGGTGGTCTCTACTCCATCAGTAAGTGGCTCTGCACATTATATTTCAAAGCCTGATCTAAGTTCACTCAAACCTCAGTCCTCCCAGCCCCACCTCCTCCACCCATTCCTCCCGTACACATTCTCCTGGTGCCGGGGAGCTCACCATCGTAACAAGCCCCTGAGGCTCCCCTGATTGAGAAATCGCTGAGGCAGCAGTGTCTTTTAGAGTATGCATAAGAATCGCTTGGGTGGCTGGGCACAGTGGCTCATGCCTATAATCCTAGCACTCTGGGAGGCCAAGGCGAGAAGATCGCTTAAACCCAGGAGTTTGAGACCAGCCCAAGCAAGAGTGAGACCTCATCTCTACTAAAAATAGAAAAAAGTAGCCAAGCAACTAAAATAGAAACAGAACATCAGCCAACTGTGGTGGCACGAGCTTGTAGTCCCAGCTACTGGGGAGGCTGCGGCAGGAGGATCACTTGAGCCCAGGAGTTTGAGGTTGCTGTGGGCTAGGCTGACGCCACAGCACTTTAGCCCATGCAACAGGGCAACAGAGCGAGACTCTGTCTCGAAAAAAACAAACAAAAGAAAAACAAAGACTTACTTAGGGCCCTTGTTAAAATATTAAAGCTCCAGGCTTCAACTCCAGTAAGTCTGCAATGGGGCCTAGAAACCAGCATTTAACAAATGCAGGCCTTTCTGAGCCCATGTTTGTGTGTGTCTGCTCAAGACAGTCAATATTTGGTTCCAAAGACTAAATCAAACTTGTATTAAATTCCTCGGGATGTAGACTGAATGCAGACAGAGGTGACCAGGTGGGTTGACACAAACACAGTGTAACAGACTTTCCTCTTTCTCCTTCTCCCGCTGTCCAAATGCCCAGCCTTCCCGAATTAGGGGCAGCCTACCAAATCTCTCTCTTCTTGCGAGAACTCATGGAAGAACAAAGGCTGGTCAAACCAACCAGTCATAATGTGCAAAATGTGTCCAGACCCTCTGATTTCCTTAATGTGGTCAAGAAAAAAGGGAAGTTGTCCGAGTGACTCACCACGGCCGGGCTCCCGTGCCCGCCTCGCCCTCCTCTCTGGCTTCACTCGGGAGAATGCGGAGCCGCTTGAACACGCTGCTCTTCTGGGGCACATTTTCTTCTGTCACATGTGAGCCCTGCTTGTCACTCTGAGGCTTGGATCTTCAACAAACCGAAATGTCATGTGGAAAGTGAGCTTTCTCGTGTTCCTTTTCTCTCTTTCAGTTCAAAATGCTGTGCTGGACCGTGAGACGACAAAAATAGACGGTGAGTTTCATTTACATCTGTCTTCCCAAAACCGTGTTCGCTCAAGTGGGCAGACGGTCCACTTTATTTATTTTTTTGACATAGAATCTCGCTCTGATGCCCAGGCTAGAGTGAGTGCGGTAGTGTCAGCCTAGCTCACAGCAACCTCGAACTCCTGGGCTCAAGCAATCCTGCTGCCTCAGCCTCCCGAGTAGCTGGGACTACAGGCATGCGCCACCGTGCCCGGCTAATTTTTTGTTTCTGTTTTTAGTTGCTTGGCTAATATTTTCTATTTTTAGTAGAGACAGGGTCTCACTCTTGCTCAGGCTGGTCTCGAACTCTGGACCTCAAACAATCCTCCCACCTCAGCCTCCCAGAGTGCTAGGATTACAGGCGTGAGCCACCGCGCCCAGCCAAGACAGCCCACTTTAAACCTGAGCATGCGTTAATAAGTTTTTCTATGCTTCTAGATGAACAACCAAAGAGCAAAGTCTTTTCCATTACCTACTGTTTAAAATAAAATGATTTTAGAGAGGGGGCTGGAGCCTTTTTTCTGAGAATCAGTAACAAAATATTAAGATTGTTTTTATAATGAAAAATGTTTAACTTTGTTGTTATTGTGTTTTAACTAGAAAACCAACACATAGTTATTGTAAAATAATTACAACACTAGAAATATATATCGGGAGACAGCCTAGCCTAGCGGTAGGCCAGCCGGGTCCTAAACCTGGCTCTGCTGCCTAGCAGCTGGAAGCTTACACACGTGACATGACCACTTTTGAGCTTAAATTCTTTCATGTGTGAAGTAAGATAATAAATGCACCCACAGGGCCGGGCTCAGTGGCTCATGCCTGTAAAGAACTCTGGGAGGCTGAGGTGGGAGGATTGTTCAAGATCAGGAGTTCGAGACCAGCCTGAGCAAGAGCGAGACCCCGTCTCTACTAAAAATAGAAAGAAATTAATTGGCCAACTAAAAATATGTAGAAAAAATTAGCCGGGCATGGTGGCGGATGCCTGTAGTCCCAGCTACTTGGGAGGCTGAGGCAGTAGGATCGCTTGAGCCCAGGAGTTGGAGTTTGCTGTGAGCTAGGCTAACGCCACAGCACTCTAGCCCAGGCAACAGAGTGAGACTCTGTCTCAAATAAATAAATAAATAAATAAAATAAAAGCATCCTCCTAGTAGGGTTGCCATGAGGCTTGAATGAGACATCCTCGTTCTTCGGCACAGTGCCTGGCACATAGTAAGCTGTCGACATAGGCTAGCCAAGGTGGTTGTTGTTACAGTATAAAAAGTTCTTTTTTTTTAAATACAGGGTCTCGCTCTTGCTCAGGCTGGTCTCGAACTCCTGAGCTCAAATGATCCTCCCGCTTCAGCCTTCCAGAGTGCTAGGATTATAGGCATGAACCACTGTGCCCCGCCAGCATAGCCAATGTTAATAAAGGCTACTTCAGGCTCTTACCGGCAAGAGAGGTAGCAAGCACAGAAGAGTCTACATGGTCAAGTCCACCCTTCAGTCATGGTGAGGAGCCGCTGCAGGCCCCAAGGCTCCTTACACGCTGGTCAGCCTGGCTGTGCAGGCAGGAAATGCCTCCCTTAGGATAGCTCACCCGGAACAGAGTGTCCCTACCACCTGGCCCCATAAAAATATGGCTAGACAACCACTAAGTTATTATCAAAAGATTTTAACAGGGGCCTTTTCTTGTGTCATTTTATTTTCCAGAATTACCTTCTCCAAGGTTGTACTCAGAAACTAACGTGGTCATGAAGGGTCAAAATGTGTCTCTGTTTTGTTCCAATGAGAACAAATCACTGCAGATCACCTATTCGTTGTTTCGGGCTGATAAATACTTGGGAACCCAGAGTGGAACAGGCGAACCTGTGATTTTTAATGTCAACATCTCAGAAGCCCCTGACTTGGGCCCCTACAAATGCAAAGCTGAAGTTTTACAATGTGTGAGATACAGTCGTGAGTTCAACTTCACCATTGTTGGTAAGTGGAGGCCCTGCAGTCTGTGGGATTCTTTCCTCTTCTGGGAAGGGCTCTCCATGTCCCTTATGAAAACTTACTCAAGAGCTGGAGCCTATGCCACTGAGATCCTTATTCTTACTAATTCCATTTCACTTTCAGGTAATAGTCTTATAGCCTCAGGTAAAAGTCTGATATGTCAGATTTTTGAAAATCTTTAGAAAAGATTGTTGAGATCTTTTCTAGAAGCTGTATTCCATGATTCCCATTGTGGGGGCGAAAAATCACTTTTTTTCCTCAAGATTCAAGTAAGAAGTCTTGGAATCAGTGCTGGGCTCTGTGGCGAGGGTCTTTGAAGCCCCAGGCCCTCCCCACCTCTTCCCCCTGCATCCGGTTCCTGGTCAGCCAGCATCCTTCCTGCCCAATCACATCGTATCCCTCTTGTGTATGTCCCTCCCACCTTTCCACCCTAAGCATCTTACAATCTAGCATGAATGGCCTCATCTGTGAAGGTGACCTTGATAATGGACTCCTAGGGAAGGAGGAAGGGCTTCCAGTTAATACATGTATGTCATACCTGGAGTCTTCTAGACTCAGGGACCCTGACTTCCCGATCAACCCTGAGTTATTCTCTAGGTCTGTGCTACTCAGTACGGTAGCCACTAGCCACATGTAGCTATTTCAGTTTAAGTTCAAATTAATTAAAATTGGATGAAATTAAAATTTTTAGTTCCACAGTCTCATTAGTGACATTTCAAGTGCTCAATAGCCACAGGTGGCTGGCGGCTGCCATAATGGACGACACGGACGTAGTCCATTGCCATCAGCACAGAAAGTTCTATTGGAGGACACTGCTGTCAGTCAACGATTCTTAGCTTTTTAGGTTATAACTGTCTTAATAATCTAATGATAGCGATGGATGCTTTCCCTGCAGAAATATGCATAAGACTACAGATGCAAATTTTTTGCATAAGGTTTTAGAGAATGCTATGGACTCCAGGTTAGAACCAGTGATCTTTGGACATAAACTGAGTATACATCATAATTTTAAAAGGGATACAAAGAAGAGGAAAGTCCCCACACATGTGGTTCTGCGATGTGATGGATAGCACGAGGGCAGTAACTCAGCTGTAAGCACTCTCTAGCGGTCAGCCTCCGCTGCCCTGGGCAGTCGGTCCTTCAGTGTTATAAAAATGTGTCATCTTCAGTTAAGTCAGAGCAGCAGGCACTACTGAGTGCCTACTTTGTTCAAGCAATTGTGCTTGTGGGATTTTATATATTTTTTAAGAGATAGCTTCACTCTGTTGCCCGGGCTAGAGTGCTGTGGTGTCAGCCTAACTCACAGCAACTTCAAACTCCTGGGCTCCAGCAATCCTCCTGCCTCAGCCTCCAGAGTAGCTGGGACTACAGACAGGCACCACCACACCCGGCTAAATTTTCATTTTTTGTAGAGACAGGGCCTTGCTCTTGCTCAGGGCTCAGGCTGGTCTCGAACTCTTGGGCTCAAGTGATCCCCTCGCCTTGGCCTTCCAGCGTGCTGGGATTACAGGTGTGAGCCACCATACCTGGCCAAGAATAGGATTTTTAAATGTTTCTCTATCTATCTATTGATTGATTCATTAACTAGCAGATTAACTATAGAGCTCAGTTTCAAAAGGTTATGTGAGAGGTGACCATGAGACATCCCAGTGGATCATGGAATAAGAGGTAGTTTAATTGGCCAACTAAAAATATATAGAAAAAATTAGCTGGACATGGTGGTGCATGCCTGTAGTCCCAGTACTTGGGAGGGCTTGAGGGCAGAAGGAGCGCTTGAGCCCATGAGTTTGAGGTTGCTATGAACTAGGCTGATGTCATGGCGCTCTAGCCCAGGCAACAGAGTGAGACTCAGAAAAACAAAACAATCAAACAAAAAAACCCCACACACATATAGCTGGGTTCTCCCACAAAATAGGGTCTGGCCTGACAACCAGCCCCCCCCCCCCCCCCCCCCCCCCCCCCTCCCCCCCCCCCCCTGACTACAGCATTTCCTGTTGGGAGTTTTGCTTGAATCTATTTAAGCAGGGTTACTTCCTGCTTTGTGAAGGATGTGAAAGATAACTATGCAGCTGAATTCTATAAATGAAATTGTTATGTTGTAAATGAGTATTGTGGGGATTTTCTTTAAAAAGACAAAATTCTCAGAGCCAGACACAATGGTGCAAACCTGTATTCCCAGCTACTTGGGAAGCTGAGGCAGGAGGATCACTTGAGGCCAGGAGTGTGAGTCCAGCCTGGGCAACATAGCAAGACTGTGTCTCTAAAAAAAAAAAAATTTATAAATAAATTTTAAAAACCACTGTAACCTTGTAAGGATGGAGAACAAAAGCATCTCTCGACTTCATGCTTGGAACTGGATCATCGATAAAATTATATTCCTTACTAGCAGTAACAGATTGTGAATTCTACGAAAGGCAAGCTTGTACCCCAAGTCTTCAAAGCAGAGAGTCACCCCCCATTCTCTGGCTGTCTCAGCACTTGGCTTGTGGCACGCTGCATGGCGTTAGTCACGTGCCCCTCCGCCTTCCCGCCGGCTCTCCGGCCTCTTGACCCCTCAGGAAGAGGGTCATTTGCCTTTGGGTCCACGCCTGGAACAGAGCAAGGGTTTCATCTGCATTTGTGGCCTGAGTGAGTGAACGCAGTCTGCGGATCCGTCTCACACGCACTTTCATCCTTCCAGACCCAGTGACTGCCCCAGAGCTGAGCATCACGGTCACTCAGACAGAAACAGAACGACACGTAACGCTGCTCTGCATCTCAGCCAATGGCTCACTGCCCATCAGTTACACTTTCTTTGAAAAAGACGTCACCATATCACCAGCTATTTCCAAGAACAGAAGGGAGCCTGCCAGGTTTAACTTCACCAAGAAGAACAGTGGAGAAGAGGAAGAGTATAGGTGCGAAGCTAGAAACAGTTTGCCCAACCACACAAAGTACAGCCTGCCTGTCACCGTGACCTCGACAGGTAAGGGCTACCTGAGTGCTTTCAACAGGGTCTGGACTTGCTTCCAGAAAATGCAGCAGCTCCTCTGACCACCCCTTTCCCACTTTGGCCACCTGTTTCCAGTTCCAGGGTCCCTCCGGCAGGGTCCACACAAACTCTAATGGGGTTGCTTTCTGCCATAGAGGAACCATAGAAAAACCTAGAAGCTGGGTCAGGAAAGGGCTTGTGGTGAGACTTCCTGCCCTGCCCTTCCATTACCTGGGTTCTGAGCAGCTGTACCTGAATTTGCATCTCTCTTGGAGAAACTCAGGTCTTTTGGTTTTCTTTGCTTTTTTGTCATTTTTTCATTGACTTCTAACACCCGTGCCCTCTGCTTGGCTGTTTATTGCTAATGTTTGGTGAGCATTGGCTCAGGGCAAGAGGGGCCCCTGACCCACCCCGGGGTTGGAAGGGCTCTGCTCTGGTGCCTCTGGGCTCTGCACCTTCCCATAGGCTGAGGGGTCCAGGGGGCCATGGGGATGTGCCCACTTGGACCCATATCCTTGCTTTTCTGTCCCACACTCTGGGGACCTGGACCCGAATTCCCTGCCCAATCAGATCAGAACCCACTTCCAGGGCGTGTGCAAGTCTCTTCCCCAGCTGTTTTTTTCAAGGGTGGCCACAGCGAGGGTGTGAGCTTGCCTGGACTGGAGCCAAGGGAGCCATTGGGGGTTTGGCATTGGACATGCAGGCTGGGGGCCCGAGTGCGTGCAAGGCCCCTTAGGTGCTGGTGGGAAGGGGGCAGGACAGGACTGCGGTGGGCTCTCCCCATGCTGCCATGATCTGGTGCAGAACTCGGGAGAGTCTAAGAATTCTAGATTCAAACCTGACCTTCCAGGTCCTTATGAAGGTACATTTCTCAAGGTAAGAGAAGGATAGAAGATAAACTAGGTTAGCAAAGGCAGAAGGCCTGCGTGGACATTGAACACTTCACCCAGCCATTTCCCTGGAAGAACAGAGCCCCCACACTGGTGTTCAATGAGCTCTACACAAGTGAGGCAGCCAAGCATTTGGCTACGAATCACAGCCCTTCCATTTACTGGCTGTGTGATCTTAGGGAAGTCACTTAACCTCTCTGAGTCTTACTCTCCTCCTCTATAAAAAGGGAGTACCAATGAGATAAATAAGGCAACACATGCAAAGTGCCCGACACAATGTCTGGCATGTAGCCAATAATGAACGGCGGCTGTTTAGGTGACACAGTCATGCCAGCATGGCTAAGGGCTCTGCCCAGTAGACACTCCAAACATTCTGATGCTTATGACCCTAGCGACGTTGCCAATCATCACCTGTTAAATGCCGTGTTGCTTTTCTCTTCCTTGTATGACCCAGTGGAAGACGCGCTAGGTCATGACTGCGAGAACTTCATTGACTAACGAGCCAAGTCTCATGAGCAGATGTCTATAGGAGTTTGGGAATCTGGTTGCGTAGTATGTTGGTTACCTTGGGAGACAGCTGTGATTGTCCTTTCTAGGACATCTACCAGCTCAATGTCATTGGGAAAGAAAGTGCTGTGGTGACCGGTGAATGCTGTCTTCTTCCAGGAGGAGGCGGCTGTCCCTTCTGCCTGCAGCTTCTGCTTCCGGGGCTATTACTGCTGCTAATGGTGACAGTCCTGATTCTGGCTTTGTGGATACTACCAAAATACAAAGCAAGTAAGTTCTCTGGGCACTTTGCCATTGCTTTCCCATGGGTTTTGGATACAGAGAGCAGGGCAGGGGGCGAGGAGGAGGGGAAGAGGCGGGTCAGAAATGGAATGGGGAAAATAGGAGGAAAAGAAGAGAAAAGGGAAGGATAAGCAAAATAGACTTCCTGAGTGGTTCACACGTAGTTGTAGTTCTCATTTCTCCAGTGAAAGCCTTTTCTGAATTAGATTGCGGCAGGGCCAGCTTCACGGGCACACAAGCTGGGCAGCCACACAGCGCCCCGTGCCAAGAAGAGCTCCACATTTGGTTTAATGCTCTGCTGTCACCATCTAAAAATTCTTAATAATTTTTTTGGACTCCTCTTCAAATTATTATTATTTTTTGAGACAGAGTCTTGCTCTGCTGCTCCGGCTAGAGTGCCATGGAGTCAGCCCAGCTCACAGCAACCTCAAACTCTTGGGCTCAAGCGATCCTCCTGCCTCAGCCTCCCGAGTAGCTGGGACTACAGGCATGCGCCACCGTGCCCAGATCATTTTTTTCTATTTTTAGTTGTTTAGCTAATTTCTTTCTATTTTTAGTAGAGATGGGGTCTCGTTCTTGCTCAGACTGGTCTCGAACTCCTGAGCTCAAGCAATCCTCCCGCTTCGGCCTCCCAGAATGCTAGGATTAGAGGCGTGAGCCACTGCGCCTGGCTTCAAATTATTTTTTAATGGTGGTAAAATATACATAATAGAAAACGTACCATTTTAACCATGGTTAAGTGTACAGTTCAGTGGCATTAAGTACGTTCACACTGTCATGCAACCATCAACATCATCATACCCAGAACTTTTTTTATCTTTCCAAACTGAAACTCTGTATTCATAAACACTCCCCATTCCCTCTCTTCCAGCCTCTGGCAACTACTGTTTTACTTTCTGTCTCTATGAATTTAACTACTCTCAGTGCCTCATCTAAGTGGAATCATATAGTATTTGTCCTTTTGTGACTGGCTTACTTCATTTAATGTCCTCAAGTTTCATCTGTGCTGTAGCATGTATCAGAATTTCCTTCCTGGCTGGGCGTGGTGGCTCACGCCTGTAATCCTGGCACTCTGAGAAGCCCAGGTGGGAGGATGGCTCAAGGTCAGGAGTTCAAGACCAGCCTGAGCAAGAGTGAGACCCCATCTCTACTAAAAATAGAAAAAATTAGCCGGGCATGGTGGCGCATGCCTGTAGTCCCAGCTACCTGGGAGGCTGAGGCAGGAGAATTGTTTGAGCTCAGGAGTTTGAGGTTGCTGTGAGCTAGGCTGACGCCACGGCACTCTAGCCCAGGTGCCAGAGAGAGACTTGGTCTCAAAAAAAAAAAAATTTTTCCTTCCTTTTTAAGGCTGAAGAAGAGCCCATTCTATGGAGAGACCACACTTTGTTTATCCATTCATCCCTCCCCAAAACTGCAGTTGCTTCTACTTTGGGGCTGTTGTACATGCTGTAAACATGGGTGTACAAACATTAATATTTTTTAATAAGAGGCCCTTTTCTCTTCCTTGTACGACCTCTTGTGGAATACCTACTTGGTCATGGCCTTAAGAACTTGTGATCTGAAACAAGTTTAAGACTTGTAAACAAGGGCTCCTTCTGCACTGGGCCCTGCACGTTGCATAGCTGGTCCTGCCTGCAGGCTCCTCGGGGGCAAGAGCTCTGCCTGTGTCACTCAGCGTCCTCATCGGATCTGCTGCTCAGAGCAACCTCATCGCATGAAGGCAAACAAGAGCATCGTTCCTTTCCTCCCCACCTTAAGTGCCACAACCGGCAAAAAAACTCAACGTCCTCAGAAGCCTCTGTTACCATTTTTCGGTCTTCATGTCTCATGCCCACCTCTGGTTAAGATTTCAAAGTGGCCTATTCATTTGGCACCCAAGCGTGGAGGAACATTAAGGTTTGCACAAAAGACAGTTTGTGTCTCGGCACTGGCACCCAGCAGGGAGCTGGGGGGTGTTGGACAGGCTCCTTTGCCTCTCTGAGCCTCAGTGTTCTGACCTGTGGAATGGGGTCATGGAGATGCTGTCAGAACTGGCAAGAGAACTAAATGATCCTAAATATTAGGTTCCTGTGCTTCCCTCCATCTCTAGAGAGTCATAACTCAGAGAAATCATGGTCTCAGTTGACACAACACTTGAACATAGATGTCACAACTTATACATCTCATACATCGGAAAAACAACTCTCCCCTTCCTATAAAAAGCCCAGGTCTTACAAAAGTGGCATTAATATTCTTGATTACTGGTCAGAGCGAAAATAGAATCCAATTGGGTTATTTACTATGACTTGAAGATATTCCCAAAATTAAAAAAAGATATTCCAAAGCTTCTTACAGACTGTTCTCTTCAGTGAAGGAAAGAAAACGGGGCCATTTCTGGCATAATCTGATAGGCAAAGCGTGTTCCCCACAAGGCTGGGAAACAAGCCGGGCTGGCCCCTGGCCTGGAGAAGTGGGTACCTTAGCCTCCTTGTTGGGTCCACAGTTTTCCTTTGTTAGACAACAGCTGGGGCCATGGGAGCAAGTCACTCTTTCTTTCAGAGCTTTGGGGGAATTCTGCTCCATGGCAGAAGAGTCGAAGAAAATGTCACTGAATTGGTTTAATTTAATGACTCTGTACCAATTTATGTAGGAAAAGCTATGAGAGATAATGTGCAGAGGACTGCAGAGGACTGCAGAGAAGTTGGAATATACGCAAATGTCAGTAACCACCAAGCAGGTAAGAGAAGTTCATTGGGTATTTTAGTTAGTTTTAGGTTTTTTGTCTTTTTTTATTTTTTAAGGTGGTGCAGACACATCGGTAAAATCCTGAACAAAGGAGTAGGGTTCGGTGTCCCCCTCCCACTGCTGGGGCCTTTCCAGGGGTAACTACCAGTTTTTTAAATCCTTCCCCAGAAATTCTGTGTGTCTGCTAAACAAACCGTCACACTGGTAGCATCTCACAGGTGTGCCATTCTGCACCTTGATGTTTTCACTTAACAACATATCTTGGTGATTTTTAAACATCACTTTGGAATGATCCCCGCTGTGATCCAAAGTCTTCCAAGATTACCTCTCGAAGTAGGCATTGCACGCTGCTTACGGTAAACGAGACCCAGGGCCTTGGCTGACAATGGGAACAGTCCCAGCCAACACCGAGCGCCAGCCACGTCCCAGGCGTGGCGCTACACCGTCGACCTGCCCTGACACACCACTGACTCCTGATTCATGTCCTTCCCATTTTGCAGATGGGGCATCTGTGCCAGGCATGGAACCAAGGCAGTGCGTTTGCACAGCGCCAGACGGTAAGTGCTCCCGGCACTGTCCAGAGGCTCAGGGCTCTGCCCTCCTGTGGTCAGAGATTCAGGTCGTTGGCCCAATAACTCCTGTTCCCTTTCTCTTGCCCAGGGGCCGGAGACTCCCAGGAGATACATTATGCCACCCCCATGTTCCTGGAGGTGGCACCAACAGAGCAAGGTGAGCCACGGCTTGGGATGAGGGATGTTTTTGACAGGAGACAAACGGTCCCTGTGACGTCACCGTGCTCAGGGGCTTTAGGAACCCAGGAATGGTGTGGATGGGGGCAATAGGCACACCCCAGAAAAACGATAGCCCCCAGTTCCACAGCTCCTGAGAAGTCCCACCAGGGATGGAGGGGCAGAGAAGGGGGAAGGATGCTGTGGGTGGATGTCATAAAAAAATCCAGAGAGGAGGATGTAGGTCACTACTCAAACATTTTTTCTTTTTCTTTCTTTCTTTTTTTTTCTTTCTTTCTTTTTGAGACAGAGTCTCGCTGTGTTCCCAGGCCTGAATGCAGTGGTCTTATGACAGCCCACTGCAGCGCCTCGGAACTCCTTGGCGGCTCAGCAACTCCCTCATTGCCTCCAGCCCGGTCCCAACAGTAGCTGGCACTACCGGCATGAACCACCACACTTGGCTAATTTTTCTATTTTTTGTAGAGATGGGGTCTCACTATATTGTCTGGGTTGGTATCAAACTCCTGGCCTCCAGTGATCCTCCCACCTCAGCCTCCCAAAGTGTTGGGATTGCAGGCATGAGCCACTGTGCCCAGCTCAAACATTTCCAAGAATAAATGATTTAATATAGTCCAGGGAAAATTAATAAATACTTGGTTCTATCAGGGCACCCAGCTACTAGAAACAGGATTTTTAAAAGAGTCTCTCTGGACACGTATCTTAAGTTTACTAAATTATTTCCCGTTTTATATTTCAGAAGCCTATAACGATTGTAAACCTGGATATGTCTATTCTGAACTTGTCTTCTGAAATGTGAAGAAATAAACTACATCTCAGGGTAAGATGCTTTTTATGAAGCTGATTTACATGAAGAAAAAAACCCCAAGCCTTTTGACACTTAAAAATGTGTCTAACCTGGTTACCTAAAGTGAATTCCTATTTTTCATGTTTAGACACTTTTCCTTTGGCCCATTTGGGTACATCACCAGACAGCAGTTTGGGCAGGTGGGCCCCATGGGTAATGGCTTTGAGTTGCTTTTGCTATTTTTAGGTATGGACCATCCTCCCCATTCCCTCATTTTTTTTTTTTTCAGACAGAGTCTCATTCTGTTGCCCAGGCTAGAGTGCCGTAGTGTCAGCCCAGCTCACAGAAACCTCAAACTCCTGGGCTTAAGCAATCCTCCTGCCTCAGCATCCCAAGTAGCTGGGACTACAGGCATGTGCCACCATGCCCAGCTAACTTTTTCAATATTAATTTTTAGTTGGCCAATTAATTTCTTTCTATTTTTAGTAAAGACAGGGTCTCGCTCTTGCTCAGGCTGGTTTTGAACTCCTGACCTTAAGCAATCGGCCTCCCAGAGTGCTAGGATTACAGGTGTGAGCCACCACATCCAGCCTCCCTCATCATTTTTTTTTTTTTTTTGAGACAGGGTCTCGCTTTGTTGCCTAGGCTAGAGTGAGTGCCGTGGTGTCAGCCTAGCTCACAGCAACCTCAAACTCCTGGGCTCAAGCAATCCTCCTGCCTCAGCCTCCCGAGTACTGGGACTACAGGTATGGAGCCACAATGCCCGGCTAATTTTTTTTTATATATATTAGTTGGCCAATTAATTTCTTTCTATTTATAGTAGAGACGGGGTCTCGCTCTTGCTCAGGCTGGTTCGAACTCCTGATCTCGAGCAATCCACCGGCTTCAGCCTCCCAGAGAGCTAGGATTACAGGCGTGAGCCACCGCGCCCGGCTCCCTCATCATTTTTAAAATAATAATTGTTAGGCCGGGCACAGTGGCTACGCCTGTAATCCTAGCATTCTGGGAGGCTGAGGTGGGTGGATCATTTGAGCTCAGGAGTTTGAGACCAGCCTGAGCAAGGGGGAGACCCTATCTCTACTGAAAATACAAAGAAATTAATTGGCCAACTAAAAATATATAGAAAAAAGTTAGCCAGGCATGGGCGTGGCGCATGCCTGTAGTCCCAGGCTACTCGGGAGGCTGAGGCAGAAGGATTGCTTGAGCCCAGGAGTTTGAGGTTGCTGTGAGCTAGGCTGACGCCAAGGCACTCTAGCCAGGGCAACAGAGCAAGACTGTGTCTCAAAAAAAAAAAAAGAAGAATTGTTAGACCACTAGGCTCTTCATAAGCATGTCGTGGAGGTATTACAATGACTATCTTTCATTCAAGGTTCCTTGTCCCCGGACCCACCATGGGTTCTAAAGCAAAAGCACAGAGCAAAATGCATGTCTAAATTCTAAAATAAAAATAAATGACCTTGGAAATGTGTCTGAAGACGACAGCATCTGCAGTCAGTCACCAAAGAGGAAAGCGAGATGACTCGAGCACACCTTTTGCATCCACTGCTGTTCCCGTTTGCTCTCGGACTTGGCAAGGCTGCCAATATATAGATATTGGCTTTTAGGGGCCTTCTCAGTCCTCAAGATTCGGCTCATGCCGGCAGTGCGCCTTTCCGTGCCACGTTCCCCAACAGCGTCCGTGGAGAGAACTGCCCAGAGTTGCGCTGGAGGGAGGGGGAAGGTATTCACTTCCTAGGGCTGCTCTAACAAATTGCCACAAACTGGTGGCCTAAAACAACAGGAATTTATTTTCCCATAGTGCTGGAGGCCAGAAGTCCAAAGTCGAGGCGTCACAGGGCGGTGTCCCCTCTGAAGACTCTAGCGGAGACTCTGGCAGCTTCTGGTGGCTCCAGCGTCCCGTGGCCTGTGTGGCCCCTTCTCTGCGACCTGCGCCTGCCTTCACGTGGCCTTCCCTCTTCTCCTGCTGTCTGTCTCTCGCAAGGATGCTCCTCACTGGATTTAGGGGCCAACTGGATAATCCGGGATGTTCTCATCTCAAGATCCCTCGTGTAATTACATCTGCAAAGACCCTTTTCCGAAATAAGATCACGTTCACCGGTTCTAAGAGTTAGGGCGTGGACTTATCTTTTTGGGGCACCACAATTCAGCTCACTGCAGGGGACGAAATGACATCTGGTTTGAACCTCTCATTATAGGCGTTGAAAGTAAAGTGCAATAAACGTCCAGAGGGAGGCAGTTCTAGGGTTCCAGACAAACCAAACAATTCGACCCAAGCAACTTCTGCTCTGTTCTTCTTTTTGGGGTTGCCTGAAACTCTGTCCTAATTGTTCCTAATGATGAATCTCTGACTAGAAAATTCATAGCTATCATTAATTAGATACTAACTCGATGGTAACATCCTACAAGGCCAATGGTATTAATTTATTTTTACAGTTAAGGAAACTTAGATTCAGATGTCATTTTATAAGGTCACCCCTGGCTCGGTAAGTGGTTGGACTGGGAGTTACATCCTGGCAAAGAACAGCAGGAGCTGTTGGGACTGCCTGCTCGGGGTCGGGGGGGGGACCCGCACAGCTGGGCCCAGATGAATTTGTGGATTCTGCTGCCATAAGGCAGCATCATTAGCATAAGTTCCCCTTTCTCTGTTGATATTTTTATTCGAGGAAATCAATGTATTACAGAGGCTAAGGGTGTGGGGGCCCCGGAGACAGACAGACCCAAATCTAGGCTCAGTCATGTGCTAGCTGTGTGACTTTGGATAAGTTACCTAACCTCTCTGTGCTTCATCGTTCTCATTTGTAAGATCAGGGGAGAGAAGGAGGAGGTGGGGGGAAGAAACTAATACTCACATCATGGAGCGAGTGTGAGAACGAACCCAGGTAACGAATATAAAGGGCTTAGCACAGGATGAGGCACGAGAGAAGAACTCATAAAAGGCCGGCTGTTCAAAGCAGGACAGTGCCTAGTCCTAGACATGACAGTTGGTTGCTAATTTTAGAAACCTTTAAGCCTTTGACAGCATAAACGTGGTGACTGGGCCACCATTGGCTTTGTCATCTGTCTTAACTTGAGCTCCCTCTAAAGCAGAGCTTGAGCCGGTCAAGGTGGCTCATGCTTGTAGTCCCAGCACTTTGGGAAGCCAAACAGGGAGGATTGCTTGAGGCCAGGAGTTTGAGACCAGCCTGGGCAACATAGTGAGACCCCATCTCTACAAAAAATAAATAAAATTGGCCAGGTGTGGTGGCATGCACCTGTAGTCCCAGCTACTTGAGAGGCTGAGGCAGGAGGATCACTTGAGCCCAGGTGTTTGAGGCTACTGTGAGCTATGATTGCACCACTATGCTCTAAGTCTGGGTGACAGAGCAAGGTCCTGTCTCAAAAGAAAAGTGGGGAGGGAAGGAAGGAAGGAGGGAGAGAGAGAGGGAGGGGAAGGAAGGAGGGAGAGAGAGAGGGAGGGGAAGGAAGGAGGGAGGGAGGGAGGGAAAGAGGACACGAGGAGGAGCGCGAGGGACACCGGGGGAGAGGGCAGATGGAAGGGAGCGAAAGGGATGCGAACGAGGGAGGCAGGCGGAAGCGAGGGACAAGGACGGAAAGGCGGAGCGAAGGAGGGAAGAGGAAGGGAGGGAAAGGAGGAAACAGGGAGGAGGGAAAGGGAAGGAGGGAACGGAGGGAGGGAGGGAAAGAGACAGAGGGAGAGGAGAGGGCAGGGGGACGTGGCAAATGAGAAGGAACGCCAGGAGCGCAAAGCGCAGGAAGGAAGGAAGGAAGGAAGGAAGGAAAAAGAAAAAAAAGAAAGAAAGAGAAAGAAAGCAGGGCCTGAGACAGGGACACGGTGCAGGGGGTTTATGTGGGAGCTGATCCCAGGGGAGGAGAAAAAGCCACACGGGGATGGGGACAGGGAGGGTTGTCGGCTTAGTGACCATAGGGGTAACTGGCTTTGATTCTGTTAAGACCCTCGGAGGTCTTCAAGTCCAGAATGCCTCTCAGAGCTGTTTCTGGGGGACCGACAGGGAGAAGCATTCATCGGTTGGTCCCCACGCCCTGTTAGTTCAGGGTTACCCTATGAAGATGTACATACCAAGAGGGCTGGTCCCTGACACAGTGTCAGAGCGGGGCAGAAAACAAAAGATGCGTTTTATGCTCGGGCACGATTCTACCACTGTGCAGCCCGCACGGGCCGTTTCCACAGCTGCGGCTGGAATCCGAGTGAGAGCGAGAGCAGGCTGATCTACTCCCCACCCCAGCCCCCGGCACCACTCGGACCTCCCGAGAAGTTGAACCTGCCACTGAGTATCCCAGGTGGTGCCAGCCACAGTCTCCCCGAAAGGCCTAACACGGGAGGGTTAATGACACGAGCTGCTGCAACGGGTCCTCCGGTCCTAGCTGACACTCATCTCCCAGCGCCCTCCGTTCCGGATCTCCGTCACCCTCACCAGCACTTCGTGCTCTAGGTGGCCGGGATGGCTCAGACCTTGAACCCTGCAGGCTCTGAGCCCCCACATCGTGACCGAGGGCAGGAGAGAGCTGGGACTGACCATGAATGTGTACCACTCTCCTTTCCTTGTGACTCCAAACTGCTGTTCATCGTTTGTTCCAATGGGAACTGAAAAGAGCACATTTGCCGGCCCCGTGGCTGTGCGCCGTGCGCTAGGCTGTGCTGGCGCATCTGGAGCGGCAGCTGCAATGGCAGCTACAGATGGCCGGGTTGACAGAAGTCCCCAGTCCCCTGCCGGGCCCCATCTGGTGCTCGCAGTGGCCATACTGGTGCATTGGGAAGAGGCGTGGTGGAGACCACAGCTATCCCTGCCTTCTCCAAGTCTCTGAAGGTGCCACTATCTCCAGGGTCTACTTGGAATGCAGCATTGCTCCTGATGGACCTTCCTGGCGGGGGGCAGAGGGAGCGGTTTCAAGGGCTTGGCCCCTCCTATAAAAGTGGCCCCCAGTCCACTTGCCAGGAAGCCCAGGTGAGGGTTCTGCCAGTGGTACCTCCATCCTAATCGTCCTAATTGCGCAATCAGGAACCAGGGCAATGGCCAGAAGGTGGCTCTGCAGGTTATTGGGCCCTCCAGGAGAAGGCTCTGACCCGTCCTTCGCATCGACTGGCTTCTGTGCACCCCACCATAGCACACGCTTTGGGTCCCCTGGTGTCAGGGTCAGCTCAGACCCCGTATGTGACAGACCTGAACGGCCCTGATGAGCTGGTGGTCTCCTTTCCCCGTGCGCAGCCTCCCTGCTACGGAGCTGGGGGAAGCTCAGGGAAAGACTGAGGGAAAGTTATTTGATGCACCTGCTGGTTCTCAGGGTCCTTTCTGGAGGGGACCATTTGATGGGTCTGAGAAGTGGTTCACAGCTGGAAACAATTCATGATTTCCCACTATGGCGCTGACACCAGCCTTCCATTCATTTGCTTTGGGTCGTTTATTTCGGTTATGTAAACACTGTTGCCTAGCTGTCTTACTCCCAGCAACGCCTGGGGCTCATCCTCGATCCCGGCCACTCCCGCCTTGCCACCCCTTGTGCCAATGACATTAACCCAGCCTCCCACACTCAGGGCCACCACCTCACCTCTGCTGTGGCGGAGTCCTGTCGTTCCCGCTGACACCGGGGCCCGGGTCCAGGGTTACGTCTCCCACCGCCAGCTCCGGCTGACAGAGGAGGGCAGGTTGACCAAGGCCAGTGTCCCGCACCAAGGCTTGTGAATTGCTTTAGTGAAACAAGCGTCCTCTCGGCCCTCCCGAAGGACGCGGTGAGCTGGTGGGTGTCCCGGTCTCCCACTCTGAACTCGGGCTAACACGCCGCCCTCTCTCGGCCTTCTCGCATCTGCCTCGGCCCTGCCTGGCGTCCGTCATCTTTCCCAGAGGCCAGCACTGTCCCATAGCAGCGGAAGGTGGGCCACAGACGCACGCCTAACTTTTCCTAGCAGCCACAGCAAAAACTGAAAAGAAGCAGGTGCAATGAATCAGAATAATATATTTTATTTAACTCAGCAGATCCAAAATCTTACCGCTTTCACACGTGCCGCCAGCCCCTTTTCGCCCAGAAAGTAGCACTGCTTCTGATTCCCTGTGGCGTCTATGTTGGACGGCTCAGCTCCACCTCGATTGGGCCCAAGCTCCAAAGGGACACCCCAGCCGATTATTTATCACCAGCTCCTGGTGTCCTTTTTTTTTTTTTTCCGATATAAGAGTCTCACTTTGTTGCCCAGGCTAGAGTGAGTGCCATAGCGTCAGCCTAAGCTCACAGCAACCTCAAACTCCGCTCAAGCAACCTGCTGTCTCGGCCCTCCGAGTAGCTGGGACTACAGGCATGCGCCACCATGCCCAGCTAATTTTTTCTGTATATATTAGTTGGCCAATTAATTTCTTTCTGTTTATAATAGAGACGGGGTCTCACTCTTGCTCAGGCTGGTTTTGAACTCCCGACCTCGAGCAATCTGCCCGCCTCGGCCTCCCAGAGTGCTAGGATTACAGGCGTGCGCCACCCGGCCTCCTGATGTCCTTGATGTGACACTAAGCCCCGATGTCCTGCTCTGTCTCCCACTCTGTGCTCTCCGGCTGGCATTCCCACGCCCGCCCCTGGGTGCTTCCCTGGCCCCTGGCAGAATGCGCTGGCGGGCCCTGCGTCCCCGCTGGATAAGTGACAGCCTCCACAGCGGGACTCTGCTTCCCCACTCGGCCCTGCTTAGACCCGACCCTACTCACTGATCGCAGGGCAGACAGGGCTGGGTCTTAAGGAAAACAAGCAAAACATCACGAAGCAAATGCGATGGTGTTTCCGGGCGTGGGAGTGGGCAACGGGGAGTCACTGTCTAATGGGGACAGAGTTTCAGTTTGGGGAGATGAACACATGCTGGAGATGATTGTGGTGATGGTTGCACAACAGTGTGAATGAATTTAATGCCCCTGAATCACACACCTAAAATGGTAAATTTTATGTATATTTTACCACAATAATAAAAGAAAAATATGGTGGAGCATCTGCCTCACAAGAGGCCTTCTAATGAGGGGACAATGCTCCCCAGCAAGGGGCTCAAGGTCTCCAATGTCCATGTCCTAAGCCCACCCCGTCCCTGTCACAGCCCGCGGCTGGCAGAGAAGTGCTAGA